GATAATCTAGAACCCCTGCACAAATGTAGCACATGGCAGGTTAGTGTTCAAGTGGGTTCCCTAGTAAACGGAACAGGGATTGTCTCTGACATGAACTCGGTGGATGGCTCTTTGATCACATTCCCCTGAGGAGGTAGCAGCCTTACCAGGCCACAGAGGAAGACAATGCAGACAGATCTGATGAGATCTGATAGTCTAGGATCACATGGAAGGGGAGGAGGACCTCCCCTATCAGTGGACTTGGAGAGGGGCATGGGAGGAAATGAGGAAAGGAGGGTAGGATTGGGAGGGAATAAGGGAGCGTGCTACAGCTGGGATACAAACTAAATAAACTGAAATTCATAAAAAATAAGTAATTTTTTAAAAAGAAGATTAAAGTTCTGGAACTGTTTTGTGGGAAATTTTGGAAAAATTTAGAGATAAGTACTAAAGACATGCTAAAATGCTATAAACATAGATTGATCAATGATTATGGTGGGAGCTGTGAAGACTTTACATATCCATAAGAATGTGTAAAGACAGTACTCATGAGGCTCCAGATGGGAATGATAATACTACTATAAGTTACACTGGAAGTCATTCATGTTCCATTGAAGCCAATAACTTATTTGCGTTTTAACCATACTATGACACTATGAGACACTGCATTTAAAATTGATAGGCTAATTAATATTATGGAAGAACTGTCAAAGAAGCCCAGAATTCAAGACTTGGAATGGCTTTTGCACAGTGCTTTTACCAAGTTTAGAAAGTTGTGAGTAAAAAGCTAAGCAAAAATATCCTGAAAAATATATACTTGTCATTATTATACACACACAATGCCTAGAACCAAGAAAAGTATGGCTACTGTAATGACTATAGTGATAAGGCCTGTTCAACAAGAGGAAAATCATGACTGGCATTAAAAATCTAGGCAACTATCCAGAACTAGTGAAGTTAGCTCTGGAAACTTGGTGGCAAACCTACAATCATCACTTTACTAAACCAGTATAATCTCTAACTACACTCTAAATACTTGTTCTTACATCCACAGAAAAATGTAGATCTCACCCCTTATCAAGTAAATTTTTCTTTGCAACAGAAGGAGACCATTAAACAACACTTCAACCAATCAGAGTGCAAAGTTGTAGAGCTCAGTCCCAAAAGATACATCTACAAAAAAGCTCCTGTACCTAAGGCCCATTTAACACTGCAGAAGAAAGGACAAAAAGAGCCAGAGGATCCAGGAGGTTGCTGGAAAAGTATCTCAACTGTTAGCTGACTTTGATTCTTTGTGACATACTATCCAGAGATGGTGGTAATGAATCATATGGTAGTCCTATATATATATATATATATTTTTTTTTTTTTTTTTTTTGAGAAACCTCTGTTCTTATTTCTTTTGTGGCTGTACTTATATACATTCCTACCAGCAGGGTGTAAAAGGTTCCTTTATCTCTATATTCTCACCATTTATTTGGTGGGGAGGGTTGATGGTAGACATTTTGATGAGGGTAAGATGGACTCTCAATATAAATTTAATTTGCATTTCCATATAGATAAAATTGATATTTTTCATGTATTTATTAGCTGTTAAGATTTCTTCATAAAAAATTCCATTTTACTTAATTTGTCTGTTTCTTGCCCATTCATTTGTTCTAGATTTCTTGCCTATGATTTGTTCTTTTGTCTTTTTAAGTTTTAAGTTCTTTTTTTTTTCACTTCCCTGCATGAATTTCTCTTTATTTAGTGTTTCAAAAAGAGGTCCTCGGAAAATGAAAATTATTTTAAAACAATGGTCTCTGAAAAATCATAATATACTGTCACCACAAAATACAAAAGTAATGACTGACATTTTTTGGCAATAACATCTTTTTTAATTAAATTTTTTATTTTTTTATATTAGTTACAGTTTATTAATTCTATATCCCAGCTGTAGCCCTCTCCCTCATTCCCTCCCAATCCTACCTTCTCTCTCTCTCTCATCTCCTCCCTGCCCCTCTCTAAGTCCACTGATAGGTGAGGTGCTCCTCCCCTTTCATCTGACCCTAGCTTATCAGGTCTCTTCAGGACTGTCTGCAATGTCCTCTTCTGTGGCCTAGCAAGGCTGCTCCTCCCTCGGGGGGTGAGTGTCAGCCAGCCATTGAGTTCCTGCAATGTCCTCTTCTGTGGCCTAGCAAGGCTGCTCCTCCCTCGGGGGGTGAGTGTCAGCCAGCCATTGAGTTCCTGTCAGAAACAGTCCCTGTTCCCCTTACTAGGGTAACCCACTTGGATACTGAGCTGCCATGGGCTACATCTGAAAAGGGATTCTGGGTTATATCCATGCATGGTCTTTATATATACTGATTATTATACAGGTACCAGATAAATAGCTGGCAAATATTTTTGTCATATTCTGTACATTGTCATTTCACTCTGTTAATTGTTTCTTTTGATTAGCTGTTTTTTTAATTTCATACAATCCCATTTGTCAATTCTTGCTATTATTTCCTGAGCTGCCAGAGTCATTGTCATTGTCTGTGCACATACTGAACAATTTCCCCTAGATTTTTTCTCTAGTAGTTTTAAAGTTCCAGGTATTACATTAAGAGTCTTTGGTTGTTTTGAATTCACTTTTACACAGAATGAGAGAGAAGAATCTAGTTAGTCTTCTACATATGTATGTCCAGTTTTCCCAACTTTGGTCCTATCATCTATTTTTTAATTTTTTATTAATTATACTTTATTCACTTTGTATTCCCCCTGTAGCTCCCTCCTTCCTCCCCTCCCAATACCTCTCTTCCTTTCCCTTCTCAACGCATGCCCCTTCCCAAGTCCACTGATAGGGAGGTCTTCTTTTCCTTCCTTCTGATCCTAGTCTATTAAGTCTCATCAGGAGTGGCTGCATTGTCTTCCTCTGTGGCCTGGTAAGCCTGCTCCCCCCTCAGGGGAAGGTGATCAAAGAGCAGGCCAATCAGTTGTCAGAGACAGTCCCTCTTCCCATTACTATGGAACCCACTTGGACACTGAACTGCCATGACTACATCTGTGCAGGGATTCTAGGTTATCTCCATGCATGGTACTTGGTTGGAGTATCAATCTTATCCAAATATATCATCACTCAAGGAAAACCTTGATACCTATCCTTCTTGCAAGCCTTATTCTTCTTTTTCAGACCTTACTAGGTCTAAAGTCTCATGTAAGATAGATAATCTAGTTCCTCTATATTGCCTTTGATGACCTCCAGGGTTGTTAAGGAAATTTTGTTGTGCTTATATAACTATACTAAGTTCCTTAAGAGTGCACAGGTAGGGGGCAGTGGAAAGATGGCTCAGTGGTTAAGAGCCCTGGTTAAGAGCACTGGCTGCTCTTGCGTAGCTGGAAGGAAGGAAAGAAGGCCTGTGCCTAATTCTATAGCTGCTATAGCTCCTGCCATAAAGCCAACTATATAAAGGATACTTGGTCAATATTGGCCATAGTTCAAGAGCAAGCCTCTCTGTGATGGTGAGGGCCATCATATTGTATCCTATCCTGTGAACAGAAATTACAGAGGCAAGCTTCACCAACAGAATACAAGAGATGGAAGAGAGAATCTCAGGCATTGAAGATATGATAGAAGAAACAGATACTTCAGTCAAAGAAATATTAAATCTAAAAGCTTACTGACACAAAACATCCAGAAATCTAGAACACTATGAAAAGCCCAAACCTACAAACAATAGGAATAAAGGAAGAAAAAAATACCAGCTCAAAGACCCAGAAAATATTTTCAGCAAAATCACAGAAGATAATTTTTCTAACCTAAAAGAAGAACATGCCTATAAAGGTACAAGAAGTATACAGAACACTAAGTAGACAAGAAAAGAAAAGAAACTCTCCTCACTACATAATAATCAAAACACTACACAGAACAAAAAATTAGTAAAAGCTAAAAATAAATAAAATAATAATTACACCATATTTCTCAATGGAGGCTCTAAAAGCCAGAATGGCTTAGACAAATGTGCTGCAGACTCTATGAGACCACAGCTACCAGCCCAGATTAACATACCCAGCAAAATTTTTACTCACCATACATGGAAAAAACAAGATATTACATGACAAAGTCAAATTTAAACAACACCTATCTACAAATTCAGCCCTACAGAATTTGCTAGAAGATAAAAATCTAAACCAAGATTACCAACGTAAGCCCCTTGTGGTGTTCAAGTGGTCAGGCACCACCCCCAGATTACTCTAATAGCATTTCCAGCCCCCTGAGACACAGATGACCAAGATCTACCCTACAGGGAAAACAAAACAATATCAAGCCATGAAACTCCCATCAATCTCTGAGCTTGCCCCAAGATTAGGCCATAAAATCCCATCAATCCCAGGCCACCCTAGAAAACTTTCCCCAAGAAACCCTATATAAAACTTGTCACCACTCAGTTCTTTGCTGCTTCTCACACAAGCAAATGCAGTGCCCTCTTATGTCTTTCCAATAAATCTCTTGTATGAGGTTTGCTGTGTGATGTGATTTTGTGTTATTCCTTGGCTCCCAACTGCCAAGATATCTTTCCCTTCAGAGATGAAACAGGTGCTTTGGGAAAACCTCTCCCCTCCGAACTATACTACCCCCATAAAAACACAGACGAAATAAATAAGCTCACACCAGCAAAACCAAAAAATGAAAGTGCACACACACACACACACACACACACACACTAACAACAACAAAATAAGAGAAATTAACAATCATTGGTCAATATAAATATCAATGGTCTCAACTCCACAATAAAAAAACACATATTAACAGAAGTGATGTGAAAATATGATCCATCTTTCTGCTGCATACAAGAAACATACTTCAACATTAAGAATAGACATTACCTCAGGATAAAGGTTGAAAAAAGATATTCCAAGCAAAAGGACCTAAGAAGCACGCTGGTATAGCCATTTTAATATCTAAGAAAATAGACTTCAAACCAAAATTAATAAAAAGAGATGCAGAAAGAAACTACATATTCATCAAGGGAAAAAAATCCCAAGATGATATCTCATCCCCTTGGCGACAGGCCAAGAGACACCTTGTTGGTGGTGGTGTTCTTATCTCATTCAGAGGCAGAGCAGATGGTAGTCCTTTGTTCATCCTAGTTTGAGCCTGGCTTGGTAGCCAAAGGTGTTTTATGCCTAGGACACATAAAATCCAAACCAGATCAAATCAAATGCAAGCAGTGCAGCATGGGAAGAGGAATACAGAGACCTGGGACTACCCACACACCTGACCTCACGCAGATGGCATAGGCAGGCCATAGATACCCATTTGCCACCAGACCACACAGCACAGTGGAGAATGACACCCAGAGGCCTACCAGCTGCAAGGTCAGCTTGCAGTTGGAGCCACCACAATGTACAAGTCTGTGGTGGATAGATGAGAGAGAACAAGAAGTAAAGCAGCTTAAGTACTGTGGAGAGAAATGAAACTGGAGACTTGAGGACAGAGAGGAGTAACCTGTTCTGAGAAGCCAGCCCCACCATCTGGGACTATGGTGAGGTCCTAGCCCAAACAGCTGCTGAGGGCTATGTCTGGGTCCCTGGCTACACAGTGAAAGGGGTCAGTATCTCTATCCGTGTCTCATATTGCCACTATAGAACATGGGAATGTCCCTGGTCAGGGAGCTCGTGGGGACTAGGTGGATGTCCAGGGGCTATACAGAACTGGCCCTTCCCATCACTGGTTGTGGTGTCCTGGAGAGCTGGCCCCATCTCTCAGCAGCAGCAGCACTCAGGAGAGCCCTATGCCTCACCCAGTACAGTGGAGCTGGCCCTTGTGGCAAGAGTGTGGTAAGCCAGCCCCAAGGGTACCAGTATGGGAGAGCTGACCCTGCCACTCATCTTCAGTGAATGGTTGGAACACAAGAAAGGGCCACTCCTGCTGATCCAAAGATGCAGGATCTCCATGACACTAGGCAACAACAGGATATCTAGAAGTCCTGGTGAGGATCCAATATTGATGGTCTCCCAAAAGCCAGAGATCTTAAACCAGACAAATGACTCATTGCAATGAACATTTGCAAGTGAAGACGTGTGGACAGAGGTCTGTACTATGGAAGACACTGTGACATATTACATCTTCGACGATGAGACACTTTCTTATGCTTTGTTTTTGTTGGTTTGTTTGTTATTTTAAGGGGGATGTTGCAAAGGTGAAGTGCAGATATGAGGGGATGGAAAGATGAGTGGGACTGGGGTACACGACATGAAACTCACAAAGAATCAAAAACTTTTTAAAAAGATATCTCATTTTTTTCACTTTTAAGATTTTTTAATTATTATCATTTATTACAGTTTATTCAATTTGTATCCCAGCTGTGGCTCCCTCCCTCATTTCCTCCCAATCCTACTTTTCCTCCCTCTTCTCCCCCTATGGCCCTCCCCTACTTCACTGAAAGGGGAGGTCCTCCTCCCCTTCTATCTGACCCTAGTCTATCAGGTACCCTCAGGACTGACTGCATTGTCTTCCTCTGTGGCCAGGCAAGGCTGCACCCCTCAGTGGGAGGTGATCAATCTCAGTTCTTACTATCTATGCCACAACAACGGCACCTAAGTTTTACGATAAACTCTATTACAGCTTCACTCACACATTGACCTGCACACACTGATAGTGGGAGACTTCAATACCCCACTCTCACCAATACACAGGTCATTCAGACAAAAACTAAACAAAGAAATGCTGGAGCTAGCAGATGTTGCAAACCAAATGGACCTACCAGATTTTTACAGAACATTTTACCCAAACACAAAAGAATATACCTTCTCAACCACTCATACACTCAGACACAAAGCAAGTCTTAACAGATACAAGAAAATTGAAATAACACTCTGCATCCTAGCTGACCATCACAGGTTAACAACTACAAAAACAACATAATACTTAGAAACTCATAGAAACTGAACAACTCTCTACTGAATGAAAAATGGGTCAAGGAAGAAATTAAGGACTAAACAAACTGTCTATAATTGAATAAAAATGATTACATAACATTCCCAAACGTATGAGACACAGAGCCAGACGGTTTTAGTGCAGAATTCTACCATACTTTCAAAGAAGAGTTAACCACCAATTCTCAAATTATTCCACAAAATAGAAGCAGAACACTGCCCAATTCATTTTATAAAGCCACTGTCACACTACTACTAAAACTACATAAAGACTAAACAAAAAAAGAAAACTGCAGATGAATTTCCCTTATGAACATAGATGAAAAAAAATACTCAACAAAATATTCTCAAACTGAATCCAAGAATGTATAAAAAAGATCATCCACCATGACCAATAAGCTTCATCCCAGAAATGCAAGAATGGTTCAACATACAAAAAATAGTAAATGTAACACACCATATAAATAAACTGAAAGGAAAAAAACATGATTATTTCAATAGATATGAAAAGCCTGTGACAAAATTTAGCACACCTTCATGATAAAAGTTTTGGAGTGATTATGAACACAAGGGACATACCTAAAAATAATAAAGGCAATTTACAGTAAGCCTATAACAAATATCAAACTAAATAAAGAGCACACAAAACAATTCCACTGAAATCAGGAACAAAACAAGGGTTCCACTCTCTCCATATCTATTCAATATAGTACTTGAAGTTTTAGATACAGCAATAAGAAAACTTAAGGAAATCAAGAAAAGACAAATTAGAAAGGAAGAAGTCAAAGTATCTTTATATGCAAATGATATGATAGTATACATAAGTGACCTTAAAATTTCCACCAGAGAACTCCTACAGCAGATAAACACTTTCAGCATTGTGACTGGATACAAAATAAACTTAAAAAAATTAGTAGCCCTCCTAGATACAAATGACAAATGGACTGAGAAAGAAATCAGGAAAAAAGTCCTTCACAATAGTCTCAATTAATATAAAATATCTTGGGGTAATTCTAACCAAGCAAGTAAAAGACTTGTGTGATTAAAAACTTCAAGTCATTGAAGAAAGAAATTGATGAAGATATCAGAAGATAGGTCTTCCACATTTAAGGATCTGTAGAATTAACATAGTAAAAATGGTCAGCCTACCAAAAGCAATCTCCGAATTCAATGAAATGCCCATAAAAAACTCCAATACAATGCTTTACAAACCTTGAAAGGGCAATTCTCAAGTTCATATGGAAAGACAAAAACAAAAACAAAACTGAAGATAGCTAAAACAATCCTGAATGGATGTTGGATTTTGTCAAATGCCTTTTCAGCATCTAAGGAAATGATCATGTGGTTTTTTTTCTGGAAAAAGATTACCCTGAGTGAGCTATCCCAGAAGCAAAAAGACACACATGGTATATACTCACTCATATAGATATATAATATAGGATAAACCTACTCAAATCTGTACACCTAAAGAAACTAATCAAGAGGGAGGGCTCTTGCTAAAATGCTCAATTCCTATCCAGAAAGGCAAAGAGGATGGACATCAGAAGAAAGAGAAAAGAGGGAAAAAGTCAGAAGCCTGACACAGAAGACCTCTGAAAGGCTCTGCCCTGCAGACTTTCAATGCAGATGTTGAGAATTATGGGCAACCTCTGGGCAGAGTACAGGGAATCTTATGAAAGAAATGAGAAACTAAGATCTGGAGAGGACAGGAACTCCACAAGGAGAGCAACAAAACCAAAAAATCTGAGCACAGGGGTCTTTCCTGAGACTGATACTCCAACCAAGGACTATGCATGGAGATAACCTAAGACCCCTGCACAGATGTAGCCCATGGCAGTTCAGTATCCAAGTGGGTTCCATTGTAATAGGAACAGGGACTGTCTCTGACATGAACTGATTGACCTGCTCTTTAATTACCTCCCCCTGAGGGGGAAACAGCATTACCAGGCCACAGAAGAAGACAATGCAGCCAACTCCTGATGAGACCTAATTGACTAGGATCAGAAGGAAGGAAAAGAAGACCTCCCCTATCAGTGGACTTAGGGAGGGGCATGCATTCAGAGGGTGGAGGAAGGGAGGGATTGGGATGGGAGGAGGGAGGAAAACACAGGGAGGCTACAAAGTGAATAAAGTGTGATTAATAAAGAATTTTTTAAAGTAAAAAAAAAAGAAGAAGAACTGAAGGAACTAGGTATTAAAAAAACTCAAATAATCCAATTTAAAAATGGGATTCTAAACAGAGAATTCTTAATAGATAAATCACAAATGGCTGAGGAACACTAAAGAAATGGTCAATATCCTTAGCCATCAGGGGAATGGCCACCTGATTTTTTTTTTATGTATATAAAGAAGCCAGAAATACTCACTGGAAAAAAAAAAAACTCATCTTCAATAAATGGTGTTGGCCAAACTGAATGTCTGCTGGATGTCTACTTTGAGATTCTATCTTACACCTGTTGGAATAATTAAGATTAAAAACAGACGTGACAGCTTATGCTGGCAAAGATGTAGAATAAAGAAAACACTCCTCCATTTCTGGTAGGAGTGCAAATTTTCACAGTCACTATGAAAATCAATATGGTGATTCCTCAGAAAATCGGGAATTGAACTAACTGAAAATTCAGCCTATACCACCATTGGGCATATACCCAAAGAACACTTCATCCTACTTGTTCAAGTATGTTCAATGCAGTTTTATTCATAAAAGCTAGGAACTGGAAACAACCTAGATGTCCCTCAAATGAAGAATGAGAAATGAAAATGTGGTACATTTACACAACGGAGTATTACTCAGCTGTTAAAAAAAATTACATAATAAAATTTGCAGGCAAATAGATACAACTAGGAATAAAACGTCCTGGGTGAGGTAACCCAGACCCAAAAAGACAAATATGGTATGTACTTACTTATAAGCATATACTAGCTGTAAGTGATAATCAAGTTAAAATCCACAGACCCAGATGTGTTAAGAGGAGGGCTCTATGAGGAATGCATGGATATTCCTATGTAAGGGAAATAGAATAGATCTTATGGTGGACTGGGAGCTAATGGGGGATAAGACCGAGAGGAAATAGGTAGCAGGGAAATATGGAGGAAGTGAGTCCTGGCAGAGACAACTGGAATTGGGAAGCATAGGTGGCGTAAAAACTACTGCAGTGGAAACTTCCAGGAATCCATGATGGTAAGCCCAGTGAGGACTCCTGGTAATGCAGGATATGGAGTCTGAAGTGGCCATCTTTTGTGGTTAGCCAAGGAGATCCT